GTAACTGCTGATTATGCAAGGGTGTGTGTGGCTATTTAGGTATAGGCATGTATCAGATAGCATGGTTAATCTCTGATTGTTCCTCACACACCCATATCTATAGACACACACACACACACATATCCGCTTGAGATATTTCTTCACATTTCCATGGGCTTTTTCAAATAAAGCACTGTTGATTTCTTTCCTCTCCAATCTCATTAAAAGGAAGAAATCTAGGCATGAAACATGTTTTTTTCCCCCCTCTACTAGTTCAGCTTCATAAGGGAAAATTGCATGGAATGACACCTTCCTATTTTTTTAACAAGGCTACTTTGAAAAGAAGAGCATTTCATGGTGCGCACTTGAATTAAATGAGCGACTGGAGGTATCATCTGGCCCTTCTGTAAAACGATCGCTTTTGTTTGGGCTAAACAACGGCTTCCATTATGAATGCCTTCAGTGAGAGGCAGAAGAGGCAGCCATGTTTTTTGGGGGTGGCAGCCCATTTCTTATGCTGGCAATAATTTTAAATGTCCACCGTGGTAAAAACAAATGAAAATCATAAATGAAAATAAATGAAATATTTAAAAAGCACTTCGCAACAGGGCTTTTTGAGGAAAAAGAAACCGGAAACCATTCAAATTTCATTTCCAAGGGAAAGAAAAAAATCACCTCAACCTCAACAGTATGGTGGGGGGGAGGAAAGATGGTTTTGAACAGAATGAAGTGGTTGTGAATTGCTACTTGTCTGTTGTGACATCCTGATTTACATACAGTGGAGGTAAAAAAAAAAAAGGAGTGGGGCTCAACTGTATAGTCATGTACGTCAGCCATCTTAACCCCTTCTGCAGACCTCCCTACGGGTACCAGTTCCTCCAATTTAACCTGATCCAGGAATGCCAGTTCATTGACGAACCTTCCAGGTTTTCACTTGTTTAACCGACGTTTGAATTTGGCTTGCTTTCCCTGAAACAAAGATGAGGGTTACTGTACCTGGGATGCAAAATTCTGGACCATTGCTTGGTTGAAGAAAAGAGATGCAGAAGACTCTGTTTGCTCATTTCTAGTGGTCTTCTGCAGCGCAGATATGGTAGTCTTACAAGTCTCATTCCTCAATAGCGCAAGAATCAACCGCAACCCCCATTGGTTCTGCACCCATGTTTAGCTCACAAATATACTTCTGGACCCTCTACAACTGAATTTGTAGAGGAAGAACAGCTAGGGTGGTTTCAACCAAAGATAGGGGATATCTTCAGTAACCCTTCCCAGCTCTCCTATCCCTCATTCTTTCTTTACCCTGCATTCACCCTTCTCCTCACTTCTCACTTCTCAATCCCCAATCCTCTCCTTGCTTTTTCCTATCCCATCTCCACACTTCCCAACCCCACCCAACAATTCACCCAAGACAATGTCCCAGAAGGTCATCCAGGATGTAGGGTGCCAGATCATTGCCTAGCGTTCCACCCTTAATGATGCCACAGCCTCTTTCTCCCACATTTTTGCCTACTACAAAGTGTCCCTCCTGTTAGGCTATTGCTGTAGAGAGAGTTGCAGTAGTTTGGTCCATGGGCAACGTGACCAGATCTGAGCATGGCTTATAGAGCAGCGAGGCATGGGCTTATCACTCCGTTTGCTAGATGCAGAAGATGCCTAAGCATTTTCACGACTTCTCGTTGTAGACATTGTGTCTGATGAAGGGATCTGCAGCTTGCAGATCCTTTAATAAAACACGTTAGTCAGAAAAAGTGCTACTAGACTGATTTTTTCCAGGACTTCCATGTGCTTCAGTTTCTAGAACTGGATTTGTGTCCGGGCTAAGTTCTCCATAGACAAATTGTGGGAAGACATTCTGTCCTAATGAAGACATTGTATGTCTCTGGGACACCTACATGATCAGACTCCACTGACATATCTACCCTTCATATCCTTCCTAGATGCTCCAAAGTGGAATAGTCCACTTTGAAGTGGTATAGTCCCACCCAGTTATGTTAAATTTCCCACAATGTCCAAAGACACCAATGTAGTGGTACCACAGGGAGAATTTTGCAGCTTGCAATGCCAGCCCACTGTCCATATCCAGTTTTAATGGAAAAAAAAAAGACAATTGTTCAAATCATGACCACAGACGGCACTGTATGTTTTACTATAGATCTCATCATTACACAACTGAATGTGAGCACTTTTGCTACCCTAATCTTAAAACCTCATTGTCTGTCTACTTTTCATTGCAAATGATTATATATACTAAACTGGACTTTTGAAACATTCTGTATTCTTAAGGTTGATCAACTTCTGTATTTTAACTTGTTTGGAATTTGCTTTGCAGAAAATTGGGCAAAGGGATTATATGATTGTATGATGGAAGTGTGATTGATATATATATATATATGTTTTTTTTAATGCATCTGATAACTCGGGGGGTGGAAGGGATAAACTATTTATATACAGCATTTTAT